CTTTCAAGTTATCCGAACAGCTCTTGTGCTTACGTCTGAAACAGCGCACTCCTGAGTGGTTACGTTTCAAACAGCTCCAGGCTTACGTTCGTCTAACCCTCTCAAACTGTCAACTGATCAGCACAAATACTAGGCTTACGATCAGTCAACCCAATTGCTCAGAGAAGTGTAGGACTGCACAGACTGGTAGTGGCTTACGCTCCTCAAGGAAGCAGCACGACTATCCAGCCAGGCAATACCTCCTTACACCTCCTATAGACTACTCAATCACACAAATCGCTCGTCACACTCTCGTCCTCCTTCAAAAACGTAGGGAAAACCCACGCAATATCGCCAGTTTAACCGCTGTCACCACTTGTAGTGTAGGGCACTAATAGTGATGAGGAACGGATAAGTGACGAGAGAGAGTAGGGATTCACTGGTTTATTAGGGAGGTGCGCACAGACCGAGACCAGGCTACAGACTGTTGACCGGCGCTGAGGCGCGATCCAATTTATAGTCTGGGCAACAGTGACACCTTGCTTGGTGGGTGAGTTCAGAAAGAGGAGTATTGTAGGGCCTTGGCCAGGAGTGAGGGAAGCAAGCCAGAGAGGGGAAGAAGACAAGAAATAAAAATACTGACTGACACTTGTTTAACTCCTTTTAAAACCGTCAAATCTCTACAAAATGAACAATTGTCATATTTTCGACAAACTTTACTCAAAAATTTAGGAATAAATTCGTAATTTTACGATGAAATCTTAATGTTACTGACGAAAGATCGTAGTTTTACTGATAAACTCGTTATCTTACGACTATTCTCGTTTTATCACGCGTAAACTTGTTTTGATACAAATCAAGCTTACTTTTTATGAATAGTTGCCTGTTAAATCTGAACCACGACCTGCACTGTTTTTTTACAAAGTAAATTGTAAATTGACAAACTGTTCATCATTTTACAATCTTAAATTTACAGGTGAAATCGTTAATTTACAAGTATGATTGTAAAAGGAAGTCTGAAAAAATGTGTTGTCGTCCGTTGTTTCCTTACTATATAGAAAGAAAAAAATGCCTGAAACGACCAAAATTTGAGGATTAAGTTTGTAAGTTTAAGAATGTTTTCGTAAATTGACGAAAAAAAGATGGACGATCATATCGTTTTTGAAATTTACGAGCAGTTCGTGCTCTGCAAACTCAACAGTGTACTCAGTACACTCTAGTTAAAGTGTGCTCATGAGTACACTCTAACTAGCGTGTACTCGGATGAGTACACTCTAACTAGCGTGTACTCGGATGAGTACACTCTAACTAGCGTGTACTCGGATGAGTACACTCTAACTAGCGTGTACTCGGATGAGTACACTCTAACTAGAGTGTACTCACAAGGGAAGTGCCCCAGGTGTTACATCCAGATTTTGATCATATTTTAGGGATCTCTTCTACTATACAATAGACTAATTTTCCGCATAAAAGTTTTTGCTGAGATATATTACAACGGGTTTTAAACCTAGGTCCAAATTTTCAAAATCACTCAAAAAAAATTTTTTTACCAAAAAGTTTCTAAATGGCCTGAAACGTCCAAAAATATGATTTTTTTCGATTTTGGAGCAAAAAAATTTTTTGTCCTCACTTAAGTCCAAAAACTTAAAAAAAAGTTCAAAATCACATTTTTGACCAAAAAGTCTCCAAATGGTCTAAAACGTCCAAAAATATGATTGTTTTCGATTTTGGAGCAAAAATTTTTTTGTCCTCACTAAAGTCTAAAAATTTTTAAAAAAATTACATTTTTGACCAAATAGTCTCCAAGATCCGCAACGTTAAAAATATGATTTTATTCGCGTTTGGAGAATCTTTTTGTTCTGACGTTAGTCATTCGTGAAAAAACTTGAAAGCCAGATAACAAGATTTTGACAAAATAGTTGAGGTATGGTACGCAATGTTCAACTACGTCATTTTTTTTTGTCGGTTAGGTCCGTCGTCTAGAGTTGATTTTCAATAATATTCTGAGTAATTGAAAGTATAAAAAGTTGCTTGAAAACATGAAATTTAGAGCCCAATACCTTCCTCCAAATCCAGTCGAAGAGGTTTTTTCAGCCTATTTAAGGAATATCTTAAAAAATTCTCATACGCACAGTATTTCAACGTAAACTGATGTTCTAGACATGTTTCACTTCTTTGGCACACATGCAATAAAGCGTGGCATCACCAAGACATGAGACCCAACAAATTTATTTTGGCACCGCCTACCAGAAAAAAAGACACTAAAATATCAGGATTCTGACCATTTTCTTGAAATTTTAGTGACATGCTGTGTTGAAAACACAGCTTATGATTTTGCAATGGTCCCAGTATGTTACTAATGCCACGGTTTATCAATTATGAACCAAAAAAGTGAAAAATGCCCAGAACATCAGTTTACGTTTAAAAACCTTTGCGTAGGAGAATTTTTCAAGATACGACTGGAAATAGCAGAAAATTCCTCTTCGACTGGATTTGGGGCTAGGTATTCCCCGCCAAACTTCATATTTTACTATTTACTATAAAATACTTTAAATTTACAATGAACATACAAAGTGGGACTCAATTTGAAGAAAGTAAGATTTTCAGTAGAACCTCCCCTTAAGTGAGGACAAAAAATTTTTTTGCTCCAAAATCGAAAAAAAATCATATTTTTGGACGTTTCAGGCC